AGGAGTCAACAACGTGCCTTGGCGGCCAAAAGGGCCAGCCATCTCCTGGGGTGCATTAGGCACAGTATAGCTAGCCCGTTGAAAGAAGGGATTGACCCACTATACTCACTGCTGGTGCGGCCTCACCTCGAGTACTCTGTGCAGTTTGAGGCACCACAGCGTAGGAAGGATATAAAAATATGAGAATGTGTCCAAAGGAGGGCGAGAAAGATGGTGAAAGGACTAGCGGGCATGTCGTTATGAGGCGCGGCTGAGGACACTGGGTTTGTTCAGCGTAGAGGAGAGGAAACTGAGGGGTGACCTGGATTGCTGTCTACAGCTTCCTCAGGACGGGCAGCGGAGAGGGAGGTGCTGATCTCTTCTCTCTGATGTCCGGCGCTAGGATGCAAAGGACTGGCTTAAAGCTGCATCAAGGGAAGTTCAGATCGGATATTAGGAAAAAGTTGTTCAGTGGGAGGGTGGTCAAGCAGTGCAGCAAGCTCCCCCCTGGAAACGGTCATGGCCCCAACCCCGTTGGTCTTCAAGAAGCAATTGGACAACGCTCTTAGATATAGGAGAGAGAGTGGTGCTGAATGGAGTTAAACCTAGTGGGCGGCCGGTCACAAGTGGTGTTCCCCAGGGCTCAGTATTGGGGCCAGTTCTGTTTAGTCTCTTTCTCAATGATCTGGACGAGGGGATCGAGCGCACCCTGAGTAAATTTGGAGACGACACCAAGTTGGGCGGGAGTGTTGATCTGCTGGAGGGTAGGAAGGCTCTGCAGAGGGATCTGGCCAGGCGGGATCGATGGGCCGAGGCCAGCTGTATGAGGTTCAACAAGGCTCAGTGCTGGGTCCTGCACTTGGGTCACAACAACCCCATGCAAGGCTACAGGCTTGGGGAAGAGTGGCTGGAGAGCTGCCTGGCGGGGAAGAGTAGCTGGAGAGCTGCCTGGCGGGAAAGGCCGTGGGGGTGTTGGTCAACAGGTGGCAGTGTGCCCAGGTGGCCAAGAAGGCCAAGAGCATCCTGGCTTGTATCAGAAATAGTGTGGCCAGCAGGACTAGGGCAGGGATCGTGCCCCGGTACTCGGCACTGATGAGGCCGCACCTCTTCTTCGCTGCGCGTCCAAAGAAGGGCAACGAAGCTGGTGAAGGGTGTACCGGTGTTATGAGGAGCGGCTGAGGGAGCTGGGGTTGTTTAGCCGGGAGAAGAGGAGGCTGAGGGGAGACCTTATCGCTCTCTACAGCTACCTGAAAGGAGGTTGTAGCGAGGTGGGGGTCGGTCTCTTTTCCCAGGGAACAAGCGATGGGAGGAGAGGAAATGGCCTCAAGTTGCGCCAGGGGAGGTTTAGATTGGATATTAGGAAAAATTTCTTCCCCCAAAGGGTTATCAAGTGTTGGAAGAGGCTGCCCAGGGAAGTGGTTGAGGCACCATGCCTGGAGGTATTTATAAGATGTGTAGACGTGGCGCCTAGGGCCATGTTTAGTGGTGGGCTTGGCAGTGTTAGGTTAACGGTTGGACTCAATGATCTTAAAGGTCTTTTCCAACGTCTATGATTCTGCGATTCTGTGATTTAACTTCAAGGTTGGCCAGTGTGGAGCCAGGGGTTGGACTCGATGATCCTCGTGGGTCGCTTCCAACTCAGGGTATGCTATGATGATGAGATTGCCACTGGCAGGCAGATGATGATAAATCCAAACTAAAGCACCACGCAAGCTCCTGTGAAGAAAATTAACTCTAGCTCAGCTTTAGCCAGTACACCAGGACAGCTGTGAGTCGCTGAGCCGGGGTGGGGCCGAAGGGCAGGGTCGCACGGCGCACGTGCCTGTGATGCGCTCTGGCGCCTGTGATGAGTCACAATGGGGGAGGTTATCAGGGGGGCCAGCAGGCAGCGCTGCCCCAGTACAGCCTGGGCCAGCGGTGAGTTCACACGCCGGGGGAGGCTGGGCTGGACGAGGGCTGGGGCAGAAACGTGGGCCCCTGGCAGGGTGGGTTGTGACCCTGCATCGAGGGCCCAGCCGCTCATGGGAGCGCCTGGGGCAGGGCACGGGGCCGCCACCGCCCGCGGGGCGGG